TCAGGCAATCCACTCACCTCAGCCTCCCAAAGGCGCGGGATTACAGGCTGAGCCACCGAACCCGGCTTGTAATTCATTTTTTAAGTGTTTTAAAAACATTATTTATAACTGCTGACTTCTTACCATATAGCGTCTGCACATAATTCCACAACACATCTTGATTTGTCCAAAAGTAGTCTCCATTGCCAATTGAAAGAGTATATGACCGTTCATCCATAAACTTGATTTTCCTTCTCCTCTGGCCTAATGAACATGGCTGACCTTCTAGGGGTGCAGAGCTCCTTGACCCACAAACCTTGACACTCTTTAAGCCAAAAGGCTTCATTTCTAATCAAACAAGTGCCTTTAAGTTTGAACTAAATTGAAAAGAAATGTACTTTTTCAAAACCGAAAAAAAAGTCAGTTAACTGAAAGCAAAGATACATTCCAATAAAGAATGTTAACAATTCAAATCTGATTGGAGGATGACTGACTATAAGCTACACTCCCCAAAATATAACTCCAACGATGTTCAAGAGAAGAAAATTTTTCTAAAGAAAAAAAGGAATGCTAAATGGCTTAAGGAAATAAACTATCACTGTCACAAAATACTGATGATGCCTTTTGTGAAGGGAAGTTTTATTTTTTTTGTTTTTTGAGTCAGGGTCTCACTCTGTTGCCCAGGATGGAGGGTAGTGGCATGCTCACCACCCCAGCAGTCTCCACCTGCTGGGTTCAGGCGATTCTTCCACCTAAGCCTTCCAAGTAGCTGGAACCACAGGTGCTCACTACCATATCCGGCAATTTTTTCTTTTTTCTTTTTCTTTCCTTTCTTTTTTTTTTTTTGAGTTGAAGTCTCACTCCGTTGCCCAGACTGGAGTGCAGTGGCTGCTCCCAGCCACTGCAGCCTCGACCTGCTGGGCTCCAGTGATCCTTCTGCCTCAGCCTTCCAAGTAGCTGGAACTACAGGCGCACACTACCACAGCCGGCTAGTTTTTTGATTTATTGTAGAGATGAGGTCTCACCAAGTTGCCCAGGCGGGTCTCGAACCTGCGGGCTCAGGCAATTCACTCACCTCAGCCTCCCAAGGCACAGGATTACAGGCTGAGCCACCGTGCCAGGCTTCACTTCTGTTTTAAAATATTAATGCTTAATATTTTAAGCAATAAAGTGAAAATAGGAAAAGTCAACATTTTACTAAAACATTCAACTTAGACATCTTATTCTATTTGGAGGTCTAATTTTTTTTTTTTTTTTTGTAGTTGGAATCTCACTCTGTTGCCCAGGCTGGAGTGCAATGGCATACTCACAGCCTTCGCAGCCTTGACATGCAGGGCTCAAGAAATCCTTCCGTCTCAGCCTTCCAAGTAGCTGGAACCACAGGCATGCACCACCACGTCTAGCTAATTTTTTGATTTATTGTAGAGACGAGGTCTCACCATGTTGCCCAGGCTGGTCTTGAACCTGTGGGCCCAAGCAATCCTCTCACCTCAGCTTCCCAAAGTGCTGGGATTACAGATGTGAGCCACCATGTCTGGCTTGAAAGTCTTATTTTAAAGGACTGCATCTTTACTCATTTACAAAGTTAAACACCTTCAAACATGAAATTTTAACTCCATAAAAATCTTTATTTAAGTAACAGAACTAGTGCAAAAAACCCAGCTGGGCTCAGCCTGTAATCCCAGCACTTTGGGAGACTGAGACAAGTAGATTATCTGAGCCTGCGGGTTCAAGACCAGCCCAGGCAACTTGGGGAGACCTCATCTCTACAATAAATAAAATAAAATAAAATAAATAAATAAAATTAAAAAAATAAAATAAAATAAATAGCCGGGCGTGGTAGCACACATCTGTAGTTCCCGCTACTCAGAAGGCTGAGGCAAAAGGATCACCAGAGCCCAGCAGGTCAACGCTGGGATGGCCATGAGCATGCCACTGCATTCCAGCCTGGGCAAAAGAGTGAGACTCAAAAAAAAAACCCCACAAGAAGCAAACAAATTTAATAGATACAATTTTTTTTTTTTTTTTTTGAGTTGGAGTCTCATTCTGTCACCCAGGCTGGAGTGCAGTGGCTGCTCCCGGCCACTGCACCCTTGACCTGCTGGGCTCTGGCAATCCTTCCACCTCAGTCTTCCAATAATAGATACAATTTTAAGTATAATTGTTTGATATAAAATGATAAAATTTCCCAAGAATTTAAATAACTTACAAATCTAAAAGATTAAACTTATATATAGTGACTTTTAGGTACACTCTAGTGTCCACAAAATATAAAAAAAGATTTCAACTTAAATGCACAGGTATAAATCAATAGCCACTGAATTACACATTTTAAATCGGAATCATAAGACCTCCATATTATTCTAAATTTTAATATTAAAAACACTTGGCCAGGCACAGTGGCTCATGCCAGTAATCCCAGCACTTTGGGAGGCCCATGTGAGAGGATTGCCTGAGCACAGGGGTTTGAGACCAGCCTGGGCAACTTGGTAAGATTTCATTTCTACAATAAATCAAAAAATTAGCTGGGCATGGTGGCACACGTCTATAGTTCCAGTTATTTGGACAGCCGTGAAAGGATTGCCTGAGCCTAGCAGGTCAAGGTTGCATGTGGTAGCCATGAGCGTGCCACTGTACTCCAGCCTGGGTGACAGAGTGAGACTCCAACTCAAAAGAAAAAAAAAAAGAAAGGTTGACGGAGCTGGCTGGTGGCTCACACCTGTAACACCAGCACTTTGGGAAGATATGGGAGGAAGACTGCTTGAGACCAAGAGTTTGAGATCAACCTAGAAACATAGCGAGACCTTGTCTCCACATAAAGCCAAAAAATTAGCTGAGCATGGTGGCAGGTGCCTCTGGTCCTAGCTGCTCAGGAGGCTAAGGCAGAAGGATCTCTTGAGCCCAAGAATTGGAGGCTGTGATGAGCCATGATCATGCCCCTGTATTCCAGCCTGGGGGGCAGAGTAAGACCCTGGAACCAGACTCAAACAACAATAAAAACCAACCACATACTTAAATGCTTATGGATTAGACAGGCGTGGTAGCACACCCCTGAAAGCCCTACCTCCACCCCACTTGGGAGGCTGTGATAGGAAAATTACTTGAACCCAGGAATTCGAGGTTATAGTAAGCTATGATCACACCACTGCACTTCAGCCTGGGTGACAGAGAGAGTTCTTGTCTCTAAACACACACACACACACACACACACACACACACACACACACACACACACCACACTTCAGGAGCTAGGCAAGGTGGCTGTAATCCCAGAGAATTACTTGAGATCAGAAGTTTGAGACCGGTCTGGGCAACAGAGTGAAAATCCATCTCTCTTTTTTTTTGAGTTGGAGTCTCACTCTGTCGCCCAGACTGGAGCGCAGTGGCCGCTCCCAGCCATCGCAGCCTCGACCTGCTGGGCTCCAGCGATCCTTCCGCCTCAGCCTTCCAAGCAGCTGGAACTACAGGTGTGCGCT